ATATCATTAGATGAAAAGACAAATTTATTTCTTCAAGTAATTAAGTAACATTACCTATAATCATATTGATTTTAAATCAAACTACCATTTTACTAATATTATAAAAAAATAGTGCACCAACTAGATTAAATCAAAAATAATATATGACAAAAGTAATAAATCATATGTTAGTTTTCCATCAATACCATGTGTCAATCTTTAAAAAAAAGATATTTCTAGAAGCCTAACATTATAGTATACCTTGATCTGAATTCCAAATCTAAGCATTATAACAACCCATTATATGCCATGCACTGAACTCATCATGGTCCCATAATATTGAATCCAAATTCTTTTTATGCACAAAAATCATAATATATATTTACGAAGATATGTTCCACAATACAATACAATTGCTTATCCAAAATAAACTAAACTAAGCCATGTGATTAAACCACTAAAATTAAAAAAAAGAGTTTGGCAATTGGGCTCCATATATTACACTCTAAATAGGACCACACCTTACCATACATCTTTCACTTTGGATTTTAAAGCTCCCCTACATGTAATAAGTCTTAAATCAATTTTCATACCATGAAGCATTCAATTTTCAATTCAAGTCAAAACTATGATTTCAATAAAGTGCCCATTATATGTTTTAATCTAAGAAACGTAACAACTTTAATGAACTTATATGCCGCATGCGGAAACAAAATTGAAATTTAAAAAAAAAACTCAAACACATGCATCTCATATGTGTGCCTCCTCTGCCAATGACAAACCAAACACCACGAGAGAGATATGTTTGTGCCAAAAAATGAGAAGAAATTGGAGTTTTTTTTACCCACAATACCAAAGACGTAAATTTGGGGAATAACAAAAAATAAAAGAAAACTTCACAATTAGGGTTCTCATTAGAAGAAACACCATAATAGGATTCATTCAATTGGAATCAAAAAAAGAGTTGTATCAAAATTATATAAAAAATATTGGCATATTAAATGAAGAGATGTTGCATCACAAATTCTAATAATTGTTATATTCATGGCCACAAAAAATTTAGGTGATATGCTCTTACATTATACACTTTCTAGAAAGTTGTGATTTATACCAACTCGAACAGTGTAACCACAACGAAACCATAATGTATAAGTCCTTAAGATTATTGTAGAAATTGCTGACAAAAACAAAAACAATATTTCCTAAAGCGTGTAGTTTCATTGTCATTAAGGACTTATCTGCGGTGTATTGTGCAAGCCTCCTAGGACACAACAAGAACTTCTCAGAATTTTCTGAGGATCTTATAACTAACAAGGAACTCTAAAAAGAGTAAAAAATAAACCGAGGATATTTTTAGAAAAGAAAAAGAGAAAAGATCAAACTAAGAAGAAGAAGAATGAGAGAAAATGTTATTTGTTTTGAAATATAGGAAATGCTCTACTTATAGAGCGTGAGGTAGCCACCTTAGGTAAGAAAATTGATCAAAGATCGTTGCCACAATAATGAATAATAAATAAATAAATAAAAAATGAACGTTACACCAAAGAACGTTTTGCCAATAATAATGAAAAATAAAAAACTGACTGTTTGCAATTTTGAACGTTGCTCACATTCAAATCTAAAGTTTCTTTTGTAATAAATTATTATTTTACAACAATGACAAGTTGAGAATTTTGCTACACAACTTCCAATTTGAGTTCACATAATGTGTTGTCAAAGCAATATAACCATCACCAAATAAAGACGTCTACATGTTAAACAAACTCTATTTAAAATTTTCCTGAACTTTTCCTTTAACATGGTGTTTTCTTTCATAAATAGTCTCAAAACATCATTCTTTATCGTATTTCTAGAAACTAATATTGCATATGGATTCAGATAAGTTATCCAAGTTCTAAGTGCTTCATACGTAACAAAGTTGAGTGGTAAACCATGCTGAATAATTAAATTTGCACACATCTTATGGGAAACCATTTGATCTATTTTTCTTGCTTTCAAATTTCCTTGCTCGTCCACTTTCATTTGCCTCACATCTTCATATTTAATTTTATTACATTTTTCACTCTGACGTTTCAAATGAGAAGTGCCATATTTTATTACAACCTGTCATATCCTTTTCATCATCACCAATCCCAATCCTAGTAAAATATTTCCAACAATCAAAAGTTGTTGACTTATCTTTTTTGTTATTTAGTTGAATATTCTCCTTATTATCTTCAACCTCATTATGAGAAATATCATCGTCTTTGTCATTGGCATCAATATTTGAAATATCTTTAGTATTGACTCATCCATAGTTACTAAATTCTAATACATAACACAATAACATGAATTCATTCAGTTTAATGATGAAGAATAACATAGTTAGAACTGTAGATGTAGTTGAAGAAGGTAGAAAATAAATACTCACCTTAAACGAAGTGATGCGAGGCAGCATAACAATTGAACAAGATTGGCACCGACCTTAAATGATGAAGTGATTTTTACTACCAACAATTGCAAGACTATGCAAATTGAGGAGATGAGATAAGATGATGCAATACATGGAGATTGTTAGCAAAACACACTCTCAATGTGAAAAAACTTATTCACCTCCTTGTATTTTCTTGTTGTTTTTTCGTGTCAACTAGACATTAATTTATAGGTCTTTTACATTTGGCTTTTCCACCAAGTCATAATATCTCCAAAATATAACCCAAATCATAACCTATTAAAGTCTTTGATATTTTCTCTCCTAAAACATCAAAATATTACTACTCATAAAATCTGTTAAGTATTCCCTCATTTGAGGTTACCATATTACTACTAAAAAAACTACTAAATATTCTCACATTTATGTTTACCCATATTATTACCAATAAACATTTGAGGTTACCATATTACTACTAATAAAATTAGGGTTCTAAACAGTGGACGAATTATGGCATTCCAATTATTTAAAAGAAGTGAAGGAAATGGTGTCGCGGGCAAGGGCGAGTTCCTCATTTAGGTTTTCTTAATGATGTCGGGTTTTCAAGCTAGCCTACCAGGCTGGGCAAGGAAAAGTTGCTTACATTTAGGTTTTCTTTTTAATGATGTCGGACTACCAAACTGGTCTATTGGGGTGGGGGATGATGTGTTCCTTACATTTAGTTTTTTTAAGATTTTGGACGGTTAGGTTGGCCTACTAGATTACCAAACTAGACAGGATGGATTGTGTCGACCTATCAAATTGAAAAGGCAATCCAAATTTGTTTTTATTGGTCAGATTACTAGACTGATCCATAGAACTCAGTCCTTTTTGTCACTCTACTTTCGAGGCTTCAACATAACACACCACATTCTAGAGAGAGAAAAAGAGACAATGTTTAATTTCTTATTTTTTTTATGTTAATTATTTTGAAGTTAAATACTAATTTTACAATAACTTTTTTGTTTTTTTTCTTCAAAATTATGGGTTAAGTAGTNGTTCTACTCCTGGGAGCCGGGCGCCTGGTCCGGATCCCCTCGTCAGTCTTGCGGCTGTTCATGTGGATCCGTCATCTGAGGCGGCCACTGCCTCTGTTGCCCCCTTGGTGCGTAAGAGGAAGGGTCCTGCGGGCGAGGGGTGCAAAGATAAAGAAGCTTCGTCGTCCCGATCGGCGTCGAAGAAAGCCCACAAGGGTAAGGAGAAGGAGAAAGAGAAGGAGAAGGTCCCCTCGGTGCCATTACCGGGTGGGATCTTTAGTTCGGAATTCAGCATGAGCGACCGGACAAAGTTTCATATGAGCTCCTCTCAGCGAGCTCTTATTGAGCCGCTCTCGGAGTTGGAGCTGACCAACGCTATGCTAGAAATGTCGACCAGGGCGACTTCCCTTGCATGGTATCTAAAAGAGTTCGCCGACCGTCCGGGGGTGGAGGATATTTGTGCCGAACTCTTGGCCGAGAAGAAGAACTCGGCCAGCCTCCAATCGACGATGGAGCAACTGATCCTGAATCAAGAAGAATATGACAAGAAGATCGAGCAGCTAAAGGCCGACCTCGAGAAGTCCAAAAGGGAGGTTGCTGATGCCGACGACCGGATGGCGGTCGTCCGAGGGGATCATGAGCGGCTGCAGGAGAAGTGCAGCCAGCTGAAGATCAAGGTTTCCCGGCAAAGGAGCTCTGAGGTCAGGCTCCTCAAGGCGAACCAGGCTTTGACCAATGAACTGACAAAGGCCAATGAGAAGATCGCCGAGCTCGAGACGACCATCGTCTTTGAGCATGAGGAGGGTTTCAACAAAGCCCTTTGGAAGGCGTCCCTCCTGGCCGGCATACAAGAGCCGCTCGCTTTGGGTTTTAACATCGAGAAGGACGTTTTCGATGGCGTCCTTGTGGACCTCAACTCCATGGTTGAGGATGAGGAACTGGGGATCGAGGGGCCCTCCGGAGCAGCAGGAAACGTTGAGGCCGGGGAGGTTGGAGGTGAAGAAGAAGACGAAGACGGGGGTGATAATTAGAATTTTTTGCTTTTATACTGATTTTTTGTAATGTGTATTCTTGTGGCCGCCCACCCAACATCTTGGGTTGTCGTGATGTTGGTCGGGTCGTCCTTTTGTAAATGCAGGCACGTTTTGGTGCCTTTGCTGATCAATACACAATTTCTCCATTTACTTAGATTCTTTTAATTTCCACGATGTACTTAATTTGCATTTTCCATTTCGCGCATTGATTGTCCGGGGGCAAACCCTTAGACTTTTTCGGAAAGACTTTCCTGTTTGTCGTCCGCCCAAGTCGACAGTAGTTCCTAGGGGAACTCTCCGTTCACCGACTCGGACTCTTAAGGCGCAGATGGCCGTGGTTCTTCGGAAAGAATCCTTCGTTAACCGCCCGTCCAGGTTGACAGTGGCGNAATGGTATGTGTTGATGAGAGTAGGAAGAATCATACTCGTGGAGCAAGGCATTTGAGATATGTCTGGAACCATAAGCAATGATCTTTTTCTGGAATATAATGTTTGGATAACATTCTGTGTAATGTATGTTTGATTAATTGTTCTTTTCCTTGCTTCTTTTTTTCTGCTAGGTTTTGGTTATTGGTGGAGGAGATGGTGGAGTCCTGCGTGAAATAGCACGCTATTCCTCAGTAGAGAAGATAGACATTTGCGAAATAGACAAGATGGTTGTAGAGGTAAGAAATAGCCACAAAACTATTATTTCCAACCTCTAATCAAAGCAGAACATTTTTAGTAGCAGACTAATCTTGAATATAATTTGTTTCTCATGCTCTTTTCTAATTCTTGTAACTTGAGAGGGGGGTTGGGTTTTCTGCTTAAGTATATTGGTTATTGTCATACTTTTCCCCTAACCTTCTTAAGCTAAATGTATAATAACCTCTATTAGCAATATGAGCTAAATATCACAATTGAAGTTGTTACACTTTGCAGGTCTCCAAACAATTTTTTCCAGATGTAGCTGTAGGTTTCGAGGATCCACGTGTGACACTTAATATTGGTGATGGTATGATTAGCTATTCTCCATAGTTTTTATGTTCCTGAACTACTTTACTGTTGAAGATAACTTTTCTTGAGATGGTTTGTCTCTATGATCTAGGAGTTGCATATTTGAAGGCTGTTGAAGAAGGAACTTATGATGCAGTTATAGTGGATTCATCCGACCCTATTGGTAGGATATACTGTAATTTCTTTGAACATTCCTGGTCGTTTACAGTTAATGAATATGTTTCTAATTGAGATTATATTTAAAATGTTTAAGGTCCTGCTCAAGAACTGTTTGAAAAGCCATTTTTCGCATCGGTTGCAAGGGCTCTTCGTCCAGGAGGAGTTGTGTGTACTCAAGCAGAAAGTATATGGCTTCATATGGATATCATTGAGGGCATTGTGGCCAATTGTCGTCAGATATTCAAAGGTTCTGTCAACTATGCATGGACCACTGTTCCTACATACCCAAGGTATGCATGCTGCTTCAAAATTTTGTTATCTATTTTCCCATTTGCTTGACACTCTTAAAAACAAACATACCCTTATAATTGTCCTTATTGATGTTGCTTTGATTTTTTTCCATTTCAGTGGGATGATTGGTTTTATGCTTTGTTCAACTGAGGGTCCTACTGTGGACTTCAAGAATCCAGTGTATTCTATAGATGAGGATGATAGTCAAACTAGACCATTGAAATTTTACAACTCTGAGGTTTGTGCTCCAACCCTTTCACTTCAACTACGAATTTATTTTTCTCTTCTTCTTACTGAACTGTTATATTTTGTCTGCGTTTTTCACTTCAGCTTCATTCTGCGGCTTTCTGTTTGCCATCTTTTGCCAAGAGGGCTATTTGTTCTAAAACAAAGTGAGAACATTTTTCATGAGACTGAAGAAGCAAGTGTGGCTGCAGTGTTGCTTTTACTGGATTGGTCCATCTGTCAATGAACTGTGGAATAAGTTAAGAGCTTCAAGATGATGATGATGACATTTTGAAGAGCAACTTTTGTTTCATGAAATGACTTGGTAGATGACGGATTCAGTTCCTAGTAATTTACGTTGTTGACAGTTTAGAACTTCAGTTGAAGATTACTTTTTGTTTAATGCGTATGTTTTTATCCCTTTGAAGTTAGTAGCTTTTAGTAGTTAGTATTTAGTTTGGTAACTACTCATGATAAATTTTGTTTTATACAATGAGAATTTATAATAAAAGTAGCTTTCAATATACATTTGATTATAATTATAGACATAATGAGACATGAGAATAGATAAATGATGATGATGAGTAAGTAAACAATCATTTTTGTCAAGTAATTCTTTGAATGATTCATTAAGTGTTATCATGGTAATTAGTCCTTTTTAAAGTAATAAAAAAAGTAATAAACGTTTTAGATATTTCTTTTTCTTTTTATTTTTATATCTATTGGAGGAAATTAGAGTTTGAGTGCTTGTGTTTGGGAGGGACGTCATTGTAATGGAAAAGTGGATAATGAGTAGTGCTGTATTTGGAAATGGTTAGTTTGCAAGTTACTCACACTCTAAATTAATTTGATACCGATTAATATTTTCTTTTCAAATTTAATTTAAGTACAAGATATTTTAAAATCATTATATAATTTCTAAGAATAATTTTCAGAATAAAAGTGTATTTTAAATTCTCATTTCATGAGATGTGTAATTTATTAATTATAAAAATTATTTTTTATATTATGGTATATGTTTTTATTAGAAAAAATATATAATATTTACAAATATTCTAAGGCAAAAATATAAATGAATATAATTATACCAATAAATGATTATGATTATACCAATGTTTTTATGATAAATGTTTCAGATGTGAAGGGCTGTGTCGTCCAATGTCTCCACGTCCTCCTCTGCTCGTACTTCGTGTGTCCAGTCTTCCGTACTCGCTCCTTAATTTCCTCTTCAGTCTGCGGGTGGGAGACCTGCGAAAGATTCTCCGATGCCAAAGTCAGTTGAAAGCAATGGCGTTTTTCTATCGAACCGTAATGAATGTCCAGTAAATGTCACCTATCTACCACTCACCCTGGATCTATATTTATAGTTTTCGCTATGGGCTTGGGATTAGTGAAAAGTTAATCACGGCCCAAATTCAGCCCAATAGCTCTTAACCTCAACTTACCTTAAACCTGATTAATTAATGGTATGGCCGATCGATCTCCTGAGATTCGGCTTATGAACCAGCCGATCCCCATAAGCGGCATGTGTAGCCAACGGCATGTCCGGCTGGCCTTTTAGTATATCCGGATGATGGGGTAAGGTCGCATGATCTCGGACGCCTGGGCGTCCGGTTTGTTGTGTCGGACCGTTGCTGACGCACCAGAGAGTAACGTGTTTGGTCCACTGTAGACGTCCGGCCTATCTAGCGTCCGGTCCCTACTGGTACACAAGCCCCCTAAGCCCTAGTATACGCAGTATACGTAGGACTTAGAGTGTGATGCGGGGAGGACTGGCGGACTCGTACTGGGCCGGATTTCATGGGCTTTTGGATTTGGACTTTTGGCGGGAAACACGTGTCGCATCCGTAGTGGCGAAAATTGAAACGGCTTTGAATCTGGAACGTTGATCGTGCTGGCTTTTGACGGTGTGGATGCGTTTGACGGTTACCGAAATTCTTCTATAAATAGGAGATGTGAGCGCTGTCATTTTCACTTTCTCCGTTTCATTCAAGCTTTGAAATTTTTTTTCCCTCAGGTAATAAATGGTTGTTGTCCATATTGAATCTGCTTCTGAGTCGTCGGGCGGTGTCCAAGGGGGTTCGGCGAGGGGTGATGGCGGGGCAGCGATTCTCCGAGTTCAGTTTCTTCTCGTTTCCTGGAGGAGGCCGTCGAGTCTTCGGGGCCGGATCCAGAGGAGCCGGACAGGACAGGTGACCGGATATTCCATGACGTCCCTATCTTCTTGCTCAAGGGTGGTATTCCTGTAGACGGTTCTCCCTTCGAGCCGGACGGTCAAGGAATAGTGTTGTCCGAGTGGGCTCCCTACGTTGCCAGCTTGTACGCCTCGGCGTATGCCGACCGGGAGAACCTAGAGTGGAGGGTTGGTCGTACTCATATCGTGTGGGATGTAGAAGACGCAAGACTAATCCGGGTAGGAGTCAGTTTGAGAAACGAAAGGGTCTACTACAATAAGAGGTCGAGCTTGGACGACTTCTTCTACATGTACGTCAATGTCTTCACTCAGCTTTTCGTCCGGGTGCCCTTCAAAAAGTTTCAAATGGTCGTCCTTCGGGAAGCCAACGTGGCCCCGACACAGCTGCACCTAAACTCTTGGGCGGCCGTGCAAGCGTTCTTGGCTATGTGCTTGGCCATGGGCGTCACTCCAACGATCTCGGTCTTCTTCCATTACTTTGAAGTCCGTCCGCCTCCCGGCGGCGGTTGGGTGTCCTTCACCTCGGTTCGGGATAGGACACTCTTCCGCCCCTTCTTGGATTCGTTCAAAAATTTCAAGCACCACTATTTCAAAGTCATCATCGATGCTGCCGGCCGCCACGAATTCCACGATGGTGAGGGGAACCCATTGTTCCCTTTTTATTGGACGAGGGAGCCCCGGAAGATAAAGGCGTTCCCTTTGGGAGTGTTGAGTCCAGCCGATTTAGAGGTCGTGCGTACCATCAACGTCCTCCCCCGTCGGATATCCGCCCGTCACTTGGTCGAATGCCTTAGTCTTGAGGATTGTGGACAAAAGGCGTTCGGTACGGTATTATTATGTTGGTTTTGTTTGTATTTAGTATGCTGATCTTAACGTTTCTGAATTGGTTTGCTTCTTTCAGATCTCATGACGACTTCTGCACCCCGTCAATTCAACTACATGACCTCAAGGAAGCGAGGTGGGGCCAGTTCGTTCTCGGCCCGGCCAAGGGTCGCGTCGAACGCTCCCCGTCCTCCACCTTCGAGATGATCTTCTTCAGCTGGCCGCCTGCCCCCGGTGCTTGCTGCGCAACTACAGCAAATCCCCCAAGTTGAAGCGGTCGGGCGTTCTACTCCTGGGAGCCGGGCGCCTGGTCCGGATCCCCTCGTCAGTCTTGCGGCTGTTCATGTGGATCCGTCATCTGAGGCGGCCACTGCCTCTGTTGCCCCCTTGGTGCGTAAGAGGAAGGGTCCTGCGGGCGAGGGGTGCAAAGATAAAGAAGCTTCGTCGTCCCGATCGGCGTCGAAGAAAGCCCACAAGGGTAAGGAGAAAGAGAAGGAGAAGGTCCCCTCGGTGCCATTACCGGGTGGGATCTTTAGTTCGGAATTCAGCATGAGCGACCGGACAAAGTTTCATATGAGCTCCTCTCAGCGAGCTCTTATTGAGCCGCTCTCGGAGTTGGAGCTGACCAACGCTATGCTAGAAATGTCGACCTGGGCGACTTCCCTTGCATGGTATCTAAAAGAGTTCGCCGACCGTCCGGGGGTGGAGGATATTTGTGCCGAACTCTTGGCCGAGAAGAAGAACTCGGCCAGCCTCCAATCGACGATGGAGCAACTGATCCTGAATCAAGAAGAATATGACAAGAAGATCGAGCAGCTAGAGGCCGACCTCGAGAAGTCCAAAAGGGAGGTTGCTGATGCCGACGACCGGTTGGCGGTCGTCCGAGGGGATCATGAGCGGCTGCAGGAGAAGTGCAGCCAGCTGAAGATCAAGGTTTCCCGGCAAAGGAGCTCTGAGGTCAGGCTCCTCAAGGCGAACCAGGCTTTGACCAATGAACTGACCAAGGCCAATGAGAAGATCGCCGAGCTCGAGACGACCATCGTCTTTGAGCATGAGGAGGGTTTCAACAAAGCCCTTTGGTAGGCGTCCCTCCTGGCCGGCATACAAGAGCCGCTCGCTTTGGGTTTTAACATCGAGAAGGACGTTTTCGATGGCGTCCTTGTGGACCTCAACTCCATGGTTGAGGATGAGGAACTGGGGATCGAGGGGCCCTCCGGAGCAGCAGGAAACGTTGAGGCCGGGGAGGTTGGAGGTGAAGAAGAAGACGAAGACGGGGGTGATAATTAGAATTTTTTGCTTTTATACTGATTTTTTGTAATGTGTATTCTTGTGGCCGCCCACCCAACATCTTGGGTTGTCGTGATGTTGGTCGGGTCGTCCTTTTGTAAATGCCGGCACGTTTTGGTGCCTTTGCTGATCAATACACAATTTCTCCATTTACTTAGATTCTTTTAATTTCCACGATGTACTTAATTTGCATTTTCCATTTCGCGCATTGATTGTCCGGGGGCAAACCCTTAGACTTTTTCGGAAAGACTTTCCTGTTTGTCGTCCGCCCAAGTCGACAGTAGTTCCTAGGGGAACTCTCCGTTCACCGACTCGGACTCTTAAGGCGCAGATGGCCGTGGTTCTTCGGAAAGAATCCTTCGTTAACCGCCCGTCCAGGTTGACAGTGGCGTTCCAAGTGTTGGGAATTGGCTGTCCGTCCGACCGTTGCAGCCTGTATGCCCCGTTTCCTAGTGCTTCGACCACTCGGAATGGTCCTTCCTATTTCGCCGCTAGCTTCCCGTGCGTAGAAACTCGACGGGCCTCTCCAACCTTCCTCCATACTAGATCTCCCTCTTAAAAGCTCCTCGGCCGCACCTTGGAGTTGTACTTCCTCTCTACCATGCGCTTGCATGCTTCAGCTCTTAAGGCCGCCCGGTCTCGGCGCTCGTCTAGAGAATACAGCTCAATCCTTAGCTCCTGGTCGTTTAGCTGTAGGTCTTCTACTTGTCGTCGCAACGAGGGCTCCCCTAGCTCAACTGGTAATATAGCGTCAGTGCCGTATGTTAAGTTAAAGGGAGTGTCCCCGGTCGTCCCATGAGGCGTGCATCGATAAGCCCATAGGACTTCAGGTAGCTCGTCAACCCATGCTTCCTTTCTCTCTCCTAATCGCCTCTTGAGCTCAGCGACCACAGTCTTGTTCATTACCTCCACTTGCCCGTTCGTCTGGGAATGTTCCACCGAGATGGTGACATGCTTAATCCCCAGGCCCTTGAAAAATTCGGCCAGTTTCTTGTCAATGAACTGGCGGCCGTTATCCGTGATGATTGTTTGAGGGAGGCCGAAACGACATACCAATCTCCAGCATAACTTTTGGACCTGGGCGGCCGTTATGGTCGCCAGAGGTTCGGCCTCCACCCACTTGGTGAAATAGTCCACGGCTACTAGGAGGAACTTCTTCTGGGCCCGACCTAAGGGGAATGGTCCCACGATGTCCATGCCCCATTGAGCGAACATCCATGGCGACGTGATCGTATGCAAGGCGTGAGG